TATAGAGGTCTCAGTGAAAAAAAAGAAGTCTTCTGATGGTATATTTTTTTAAGGCCTTAGATGTATTGTCTCCCCTTAATATTATTAGGGTGAGAGGGTAGGTAGGAATATTGGTTTTATATAGGGGAGGGCTGGAGGATTTGGGATCCCTAGCCACCATGAGTGAGAGTAAGGGATGGATAGACAATCCATTATTTGCCCCCACTTTATTTTATCACATATCTCCACACGTGTAGAGATAGAGGGTGGACAGACAAAATACAATGTTTAGTGAAAAACGCCATAACCCTTTTTTGCATCCTGTACACTAAAATTGTTATAGCATATGGAAAATAAATAGCATTTTGATTGCCAACACATCTAAATAATATGACTTGATCAGAGAAAATATTGTTAACTCTTTAGAACTGTATCCTATTCATTCATCTTTGTAGATAGCAGATAGAAAATAGGAAAAGCAAAACAATCTGGGAGTGCAGCCAGTTTTGAGTCTATTTTTTGTTTCTAATGTTTTTTCACACAGAATTGTTTTGTGTGTGAAATATTAAAACCTACAGCAATCAAAACAATTACAACAACTAAAAATGTGTGTTTTCTATGAAAAGAACAATGGAGGGAGCAATGTCTACATAGTTTCCAAGACATGCATAAGCAAAAGAAAAGCAAGCAGAAAATACAAATATATAAATAATAAACCACATAACAAATATACAGTCACAGTTTTCACAACCTATTTACTGTAAATCAGCATTAAAATAGAAAATGTATTCGCATATTTACTGTCATGTAAAAAACAAAACAAAAAAAAAAACATTCCATTTTGTGAAATCATACTTTTAAACAAACAAACGTGTTTTTAATCATTTTAATTTAATTTATATTACGACATCCCAGGCAATCAGATTACATTGTGAAAATGAGTTTATTGAAAAGGCAGTAAAATATTTTAAAATCATATGCTGATTTGAAAATACTGTTAGTGGCATGCTATTAGTCTTTGTATATTGAATATAACTTAAAATCTAATACAGCATCAGGTTTTGCAAATGCACCGGGGAGAAAGGAAATGAATAAGTAAGAGAGAAGATACAGAAACTTATGGAATAGAAAAAGGCAGCTGTATTTACATAAGGAACTATAAAACTTCCAAAGGGTGAAAGAGAATACATTGCATGGTTAATTTTTTTATTAAACCATCATAAATTAATGTAATTAATATTTTTTAAGTGCATCGAAATACATTTGTGAGCATATTTAGATTAACACACACATAATAAATTATCAGAAATTATTCCTGGCATTGCTAAAATGCTGTAAACATAATGTATGAGTTAAATTCCACTTAGTATGTTTTCATTTATTTTTATCCAAAGCCCTTTACAACAGGGGTGTGCAAAAAGTAGCTGCCCAGATGTTTTAAAACTACAGCTTCGATAATATTTTGTTATTTTAAAGGCATGCAAAGATTCACGGGAGTTTTAGTTCTACAACATCTGGGGATCTACCTTTTTGGCACCCCTTCTTTACAATATTACATTATCTGACTGATTAGTGCACAGATCTTGTGAAATCATATAGTTCCTGATTGATGGAATCACATCATGCAGTAAAAACATATTTCACAGTGTGACTGCCACTGTGCAATGTGTGTTCCTAACGCAGACACTTTCCAAGTCTTCTTGAGGTTCCGGGAGACTCCCGCATTTTGAATGCGGCTCCCTGACACCTGCAAATCACATAAAATATCTTGGAAATCACACACACAATCTGATATGTGTGTGTGTGATTTTTATTCCATTGTAGATGATTTGCGCCCCCTAGCCCCCCATAATACTTGCCAGCCCTTTTAAGAGCCAACCAGGCCGCTGTGATGTCAGCCAGCAGGAAGGAAGTGACAGCCATGTGTGTGTTTCAATGTGTGTATCTGAGTGTATGTGCCAGTGTGTGTGTCTGTGTGTGTTTCACTCTATATCTAAGTGTGTATATGTGCTAGTACGTCTAACTGTGTGTTAAGGTGTTCAAACATATTTGATGGCGGTATGTGTGTGTGGGCGGGGGTTAGGAGGAGGATTGTGTGTGCAGTAGCTGGCTGTCCAATCACATGCTTTCCGAAGGAGCACAATGAGAAATCGTTGCAACACTGTTGCCAGTGGCGTACTAAGGGGGGGGAGGTCCGCCCCGGGTGCCACCTGTGAGCTGTGTGGCTGCACAGGGCGCCGGGAGCCACACAGCTCTCACACACACACACAGGCTGGGAATTCAGCAGTACAGAAGTACTGCACTGAGAATTGGGGGCAGAGCCAACTCGACTGTGGAGGTGGAGCCAAATGGATGTGGGGGCGGAGCTACAGCCAGCCTCCATTTGCTGCCTTTCACTGCAGCACACTGAGGGGTAGCAGGAAGGAGTCCCTGCTTCCCCAACTCCAACACACCAGGGACTCACTGACTCCACCTGTTACAAACTGCCATTTGTAACTGTTATTTTATTTGACAAATTGCCCTGCTTCCCTGTGTTATGGAGAAGCCTAATTGCCAGCCTTCTGCCCCATGACTATGGACCTAGTGTGTATGGCGATTTGACTGTATTTGATCTGAGCGCTGTTTGGATATATTGAGCGCTCAGATCCAAGCCATCTGGGGATAGGTTGAATGTGGGGGTTCTGTTCAGTTCAATAGGAGTTATGTATTTTTGTGTCTTTTTGTGTCTTTTGCTAACATGTGGTTAATGGAGTCTGCCTCTATCCCTGGATAATTGGATTACTTTCCCCATTGTCCAGGATAGAGGCCTCTGTAAAACCGGTTTGGGCCAGAAAACCATGCTGCCAGCCAGGCCCCAAAAGACACTTTTGCTAACTTTTGAACCCCTTGTCTGATTTGTGCCATTTTTTAATATGTTGCTCCCCTTAATGGATTGATTCCAAATATGTAATTTTTATGAAGATTGGATGTGTAGTTTGGAAGTTATAGTACATGTATAAAAACTGTATTTTTACTGTTCTGTTTTAATTATGTTATGTGATTATCTGAGGGATGGGAATTTCCCCGAATGTATATTGTTCCGATTGGTTATACTGCTAATTATGTGGGTGTCTCCCTTGCATGGGCAGAATCTCATAAAAGCAGAGTGTGTGCCATTAAACATCAGATCTTCTTAACCCTCAATACGTAGCCTTGTCTCGTTATTGGAGGGAACTGCTATATCACACTGGGGCAGGGGCGGGCTGGGCGGGGGGCAGGGAGGCAATTGCCCCCCAGGCCACCCTAAATTCCTGTAAGGCCGGCCGCAGCGGGCCAGCCCTTTAAATACTGCAGCCGCCCGAGCGCTCTGTTAAGAGCGCTCAGGCGACTGCAGCTTCTCCCCTCCCTCCCCTGTAGCGTGGCCGAGCTGCACTCCGGTCCGCGGTGGCCGGCCAGCCGGAGTGATAGGAAGGTGCACGCTCAGTGTGCACCTTCCTGTCAGTCCGACCGGGTACAGGAAACAGAAACTCCTGTTCCGCGCGGAACAGGAGTTTCTGTTTCCTGTCACCGGCCGGACTGACAGGAAGTGCACACTCAGTGTGCACCTTCCTATCACTCCAGCCGGCCAGCCACCGCGGACCGGAGTGCAGCTCGGCCACGCTACAGGGGAGGGGGTAAGAAGAGAGGGAGGAGGGGGGGTAAGAAGAGGGGAGGGAATAGAGGGAGTGGGGGGGATAAAAAAGAGAAGAGGGGAATAAAAAGAGGGGAGGGGGGGATAAGAAGAGGGGGGAATAAGAAGAGGGGAGGGGGGATAAGAAGGTGGGGGGAATAAGAAGAGGGGAGGGGGATAAGAAGAGAGGAGGAGGGGGTAAGAAGAGGGAGGGGAATAGAGGGGAGGGGGAACAAAAGAGGAGGGGGGATAAGAAGAGGGAGGGGGATAAGAAGAGAGGGAGGAGGGGGCCAAGAAGAGGGAGGGAATAGAGGGGAGGGGGATAAGAAGTGAGGAGGGGAATAAGAAGAGGGAGGAATAAGAAGAGGGAGATAAGAAAAGAGGGGTAAGAAGAAGAAGGGGTGAGTAAGAAAAGATGGGGAGAAGAAGAAGAAGAGGAGGAGCAAGAAAAAGAGGGGAGTAAGAAGAGGGAGAGGGGGAATAAGAAAAGGGGGAGGGCGTGAGTAAGAAGGAGGGGAGGATGGAGTAAGAAGGAGGGAGATACCAAAGAGGGGGGTAAGAAGAAGAAGAAGGGGTGGCAAGAAAAGGAGTGGGGAGAAGAAGAAGAGTGGGGAGTAAGAAGAAGAAGAGGGGTAAGAAGCTGGAAGGAGTAAGAAGAAGAGTGGGGAGTAAGAAGAAGAAGAGGGAGCAATAAGAAGAAGGGGGTAAGAAGAACAGGTGGGGAAGTAAAACGACCAAGGGGGGAAGTAAGAAGAACACAGGGAGGAGGGGGGTAAGACGAACACAGGGGGTGTGAGGAGAACACATAGAGGGAGGAGTGAGAAGAACACAGGGAGGGTGGAGGGGGGGATGAGAAGAGCACAGGGAGGGTGGGTGAGTGTGAGAAGAGACCGCTAGGGGAGGGTGGGGGAGAGGAGAGACCACTAAGGTGCAGGGGAGAGCTCTACGGGACAGAAGGGGCAGCTCTATAGGACAGGGGCCAAGACAGGGAGCTCTTTCACACTACGCGCGTGCACACACACACACACACACACACAATGCATCCCTATACATACACAGAAACACAACATGCTTCCCTTACACACAGAGAAACACACAATGCATCCATTACACACACACACACAATGCAACCCTTACACACAAAGACAATGCATCCTTTGCACACATACACAGAAACAGACAATGCAAACCCGTACACACACATGCAAACACACACACTTCTTTTCTTACATACACACAGAAACACAATGCATCTCTTACACTCAATGCACACACATACAGACACACACCTTGCATCCCTTATGCATACAAACACAGATTCACACAATACATCCCTTACACACAACCAGAAACACATAATACATCCCTTATACACACATACACACTGCTTCCACTACACACAAACACACTACATCACCTGCACAAACTGGTAACCCTATACACTACATACCATAAGCACACATATTAGATCCTCTACAATAACACATAACACATCCCCTACACACTCCACTCCCTGTGAGCGAACTCATGGGTGGTTGGAACTTATGAGTGGGCCTTATGGGCATACTCACCGTCAGGCCCTGGGGCCCAGAACTTGAGCTGTGTAAGGGGCCCCAAAAAATGGAGCTGCTTCCAATTCTCCCAGAACATTGAATTTTGTGACCACAGTTGCAAACAGCCTCCAGAGATCCTGCTCTACACCAGACCAGTGGAGCCAAACTGCAGCCCATCATCATCCTCATCTGCTTGTAAGTAGGCAATCTAGTATATTATTAGTGACACTAATCTATAATGTACCTTACATTAAAGGGACACTATAGCTTAATGAAGTGGTTCTGGTGTCTATAGCTGGTCCCTGCAGCCTTTTTAATGTAAACAAAAGTCAGTCTCACACCCCCTGTGTGCAGCACTGGCGTTAGTTCATATGGGTGGGGCATTGTGATGTCACATGGGGGGGCAGCAAATTTTTATTTTGTCTAGGGCGGCAAAAATCCTTGCACCGGCTCTGATCCTGGGCAGGTGCACCAGTCTACTGGTGACCCACAGTAGGGGAGTGCACTGATTGCACTGCACTCTCCTCCTGCCCAGCCCCATCTTTACTGCAGTGCAAGTGCCCTCTGCCCCTAATTTACAGTGGCTCACACTCACAACAAGCAGTGCCTGGAGCCGTGAAGGAGCGGGTATGGCAAAGAGCTACTGATTAGCATTACATCAATATCCGTTATAAAACCAGGAAAAGGTGGGCATGGATGGTGAACTGATTTGGTGGTGCAATGGGCCACTTGACTGGTTTTGCCCCCCCAGGCCTAATGCTGCCAGCCCTCCCCTGCACTGGGGATTGCTATGCTCTGCATACTCCCCTGAGCTTTTAATCACTTAGCTCTTTTAAGAGCTGTTCCTGTTACGCTCTCCTGGAGGAGAGGTCTTCCCCACACGGTCCTGGAGGACAGAAGCTGATCCAGGGTGGAAGGAAGCCGGCGAGACTCCAGTTAAGCTACGGCGGTTGTGGAGTCTGCGGTGGTTGTGGTGTCTGCTGCAGTGTTTGGAGTCCTCAGGAAGCGCTAGGAGCATCCATCAACGGAGGGTACTCGGTCGGAGTACAGGGAGCTCCGTTACACCACCCCTCCACAAGTGAGAGAGAGAGAGAGTGTGTGTGTGTGTATGTGAGACTTCTTGTGACTCTGCCTGTGTGTGTGTGAATGTCTGCCTGTGACTATCTGTGACTGTGTGTGTGAATGTCTGCCTGTGACTATCTGTGACTGTGTGTCTGAATGTCTGCCTGTGATTGTCTACCTGTGACTTTGCGTGAGACTAACTTTAAAAGCCAACCAGGCTCTACCTGTGACTGTGCGTGAGACTGACTTTTGGTGACTGTGTGTGTGACTGTCTTGTCAGAATATTTATATCGGCAGACATTTTGTGCTAAGATAGAAATTAAAAGTGTATATTGCCAGAGTCACTCAGAACAGAGCGGACTCCATTTTGGATTCAGGCTAACAAAGAGAAACACAAAATTTCCTTGCTTTCTGTAACTAGCCAAACCAGGCTGAGCTTAGGAATGCTTTATGTAAACAAAGCAATAAAGTCTCCCAGCAAGGATGGGGGATGAATTACTAAGTCCAGAGACAAGTATATACATTATATACACTTGTGTATATATATATATAACCATTATACATTTATTTACTATTATATTAAATACATATAATTAGTATTATGTTAATAATATAGACCATTCATGGATAAATATTCATGAAGACATACCATATTATTTAATAAATATTAGTGGAATAGAAAATGTCTCACAGCTTCTCAGAAAGCCAGACACCAATGACCAGATAAGACTCAGTAATTAATTTTACTTTCTAAATTTTACAAGGTCCCATTGTAAGTAAGGGGTGAAATTGAGTTTAGAACTGTCAATTTTAGAAATTACAACAGGAATTGTCGATGCGCTTTCTGGAGAAAATCAAAAGAAACGCTTTGAACTGACAGCAAATTTAAGTTATGGCAGTCATTATTTTAGAAAAGCCAAATGACGTCGAAATCGTCATCAGGAAAAGTTAACTCTTTCCTGGATAGGAAAGTTTAGTGAGGCAAGAGTGCCCTCTATGGACCAAAAATCTAAATTGCGATCTGCAGGTTAACCACACCTTCAGTATCTTATTGGTTTTACCAACTGATGACGTAGAAAGAATCTTTCCCTTTAAAAGTTAGGACAAAGGGAAGAGAGAGGTTGTGACGAAGTGCCCTTCGCCACTTGTGCCTGGAGAGGACTGCTTGCCCGCCTCTTGCCCTGTGACTATGGACCCTGGGAGATTTGGCCCGTTCAATTCAGTATGATAGGAGTTATGTATTTTTGTATCCTTTTGTGTTTTACCTGGAACATGTGCTCAATGGAGTCTGCTTATATCCCTGGATAATTGGATTACTTTCCCCATTGTCTCCAGGCTAGAGGGCTCTGTAAAACCAGTTTGGGCCAGATAACCATGCTGCCAGCCAGGCCCCAAAAGATACTTTACTAACTTCTGAACCCCTGGTCTGATTCATGCCATTTTTTGATATGTTGTTTCCCTGAATGGATTGATTGGGAATATATAATTTGTATGTGAATGTGATGTATATTTTAGAAGTTATGAATGCTGTAAAAACTGTATTATTTCTGGCCAGCAGATAATTGAGCTTTGTGTATTGTTGAAACTCAATTATCTAGCCTGGCCCAGAGGAGGAGTTTTGTGTTGCATAAATTGTGAGTTCTGTGTGCCAGTAAATCAGTCTTGTTCCAGCATTAAGCCTTGGCTCATGTTTGGGGGATTGGAGAAATACACTCTGGGGATTGCTATAATCACTATACTCCCCAGGGTATGATCACTAAGTTCTGCTAAGAGCTTGTTCCTGTTCCTGCTCTCTGGGGAAAGAGAGGTTCACCCACTGGAAGCTGGATCCTGGCCTTGGGTCCAGGGTGGGTGGAGACAGCAGAGACCCCGGCGCAGTTGCATCGCTGGAAGTGGGGTCTGCAGTGCTGATGGTGTCGGTTGGAGTGCTTGGAGTCCTCAGCGAGCACTAGGAGCATCGATTGGCGGAGGTACTCAGTCGGAGTGCCAGCGTTCCGTCACAGAGGTTAGTTTGGGGTTTTTCAGATTGAAATTCAGATTCGGGACGAGACACACGGAAAGACACCTGAGACAGACAGACCCTCATACAAACAGACTGAGGAGAGAGACACAGAACACTTAATTTCACTATCTATTTGCACACACATAACAACACTTCAATTCCTGGGATTACCTAAGAGCATCTGATGAGAGCATCTACATCATAACTGGTAATTATGCTGGTTTTATTTAATTCATCTAAATTAATTAAAATCTATTAATAGCAGGATACATGCATGGATAAATCACGATCAGATCCCATAATTGAGGAATCTTAATTAAATAAAGAATATGTAGTTATAACACTCTGTAGATTTGACTCTTTTGGATGGTACATGAATTGACTAATGATCTGGTTGAATGTTATTTTAATTAAAAATAGCAATAGAATAGGTTATTCTATGCCTAAGAAGACTAACCAGCATTGAAAGGGTTACTCAGTGGATCTAACTGTTGGCCAAGGTTTTATGCTTTTCACTGGAAGTTTAGCTTTCTGTGTCTGTGAAATACCTCATTAATCTTACTAAAGGACAGTTGATGCTGTTAGCCGTTGGATTGTTTTAATATTGCCATTGTATTGCATACTTATATTATACTAAACATGACTGATTGTTATCATGCATGCTGCCTAATATTATTATTATTTTATTTGTCACAATAAATTATATCTATTTTTATAACAAATTGTGATTTTATTTGTATGGAATACATGATGATGATGATCCCTAAGATCTAAGAGAATTGAAATAGTGGGCAATTCTCAACTGTATAATATTATCACCCCATAAATATCCCCACAGTCTGCCTGTGCCTGTATGTATGAATGTCTGCCTGTGATTGTCTGCCTGTGACTGTGTGTGACTGTCTGCATGTCACTGAGTGTGTGTGACTGTCTGCCTGTAGCTGTGTGTGTTACTGTCTACCTGCAGCTGTGCGTTTGACAGTGTGCAAGTGACTATGTGTTTTGGTACGGTGTGCATGTGGCTGTATTTGACAGTATATGCATATAACTTTGTATATCTGACTGTCTTCGCCCTGCAGTGAGTCGGCACATAACATTATCCAAGCATCGGCGTCATATTACAGGATGTGCAAGGGATGTGTGCATGAAGAGCACAGAGATCCCAGCAGCAACCACTGACTACCAGGGACTGAGGAAGGTAGGGAGGCTGGGTGGACCTCTTAATTATTAAATGTGTGCATGTATGTGATGTTTGCATGTGCATATCTAATTATGTGTGTTTGTAATTGTATGTGTGTGGGTCTGTGATTGTGTATGTCTGTGTTTATGTGTGTAGTTGTGTGTGTATCTCTGTGTATACACACACACTTAACTACAGAGATACACACACAACCACACACATAAACACAGACATACACAATCACAAACCCACACACATACAATTACAAACACACATAATTAGTTATACACACGCAAACATCAAATACATACACAAGTGTGTGTGTATATATACATACGCACAAACACACAATCACAGATATACACACACAGACATACACCTATTGTGTGTGTATATAAATGTGTATGTGTTTGTACACAGCTCCCTTATTTGGTGTCCTTAAATATTGCAATCCCACATAAGGATAACAAATAAGGGCATTATCTACTAAACAACTGAAATTAAGAAAAGGTTTTTTGTTTTTTAAATTGATCTTTTAGCTGTTTAGTTGATAATTCTCTAAATTGGTGTCTTTATGTGAGATTTCCATATTTAAAGATACCAAATTAGGATGCTGTTTAGCAGATAGTTTCATTATTTGGTGTCCTTAAATATGGCAAAGCCACATAAGGATAGCAAATAAGGGAGTTATCTGATAAACAAAGATCGACGTTAAGAGGTGTCAGCTAGCCCACGAACAAGAAATCTGGGTGGCTAATGTGAATTATATGTTGACTGATGCCAATGTAAACTGAATGCTGGCATTAGGCAGCCAATGGCAACACATTACCCCATCCCCTAGTGAAAATTTTTAGTGCCCCCACAGTTTGGATTGTGGTATCTTATGTGCCCAACCCCTATATATTGTTCCTATGTGTCTTTGTATCTGCATGTGTGTCAGTGTGTATTTAGGTGTGTATATGTGTATATGTGCATACATCTCAGAATCTCGCCAACGCTACACACAAATACACCCCTGCATTTCAATGTCAACATTACATACAAACACCATCATTATATATAACCACACCACTGCCTTCAAAAACCACACTACATAAAAATGCATGCCTGCATTCAAACGCCAATGTAACGGCTACCCAGCTGGTGAGGGGTACTTGCCGTTGGAGACGTCCTTTTCTAGGCAAGCTGCTGTGAAGTAATGGAATTCTTATTCCCATCCACGGTATCCAATTGCATAATCCAGGAGTGCTGTAAAATGAGGCGGAGTAACGGTACCATAAATCCCCTCCAAGAACGAGACGAGGCTACGTTTTGAAAGCTTTCAAGTAGAACTGATCTTTAATGACAGGGGGTCTCCTTTTATGCAATGGTGCCCTCTGAAAGGCTACACCCACATAATTATTACCAAAGCCAATTACATACATGGTTCAACCCCCACATCTCCTCCCCTCAGATAACATTAACACAATTAAAACAGACACAATTTTAACTACATTCTGGATGTACCCCAAAAACAGGGGGTACACCTTTAAGTCCGCTTAATAGCTCTCACTCAGGGGAACAACATATCCAAATTTCAAGTCATTCGGTTGAGGGGTTCGGGAGTTATGGGTCTTTGAAGTTTTGACCGACCGCACAGGTTTTTCAGCCGAAAAGAGTTCCATAAGTTTTGGCCTTGCGGTCGGTCTCCATTCGTGCATAAAAACTCCACAAACCCCTTGCCATCCACAGTAATCCTGATGTTCGCCTGAATCCCCATTCATGCTTAAACAAAACTACAGCACGAACTTACGAGCTCCTGGAGGTCTCAGCGGTGTTCGCCTGTTTGCGTATCCGTTTTTAGTTCCATGCGTTCACAGGCAAACACCGCCGTTCGTGCGTAAGATGGCCGCGAACACGTGTAAAGTCCCAAAATGGCGGCCGCCTAACCTGAGTACAAAGGGATTCGTCTGAACCATGCGAATGGCTCCACAATCACTGGGAGGTAAAATAGCAATTAACTGTTCCCCTGGGTGGTCTGATGTTCGGTATTTTGGGTTGTATGTTATAGTAGCAATAGTCACACGAACACCAGCCATTCGGTTCTGTTTAACCCCTCCAGCAGCATTGTTGATTAAGTTCAGGCAAAAATGCAGGCATAATCATAGTTCTGTTACAGCCAACACCACATACAGACACACATCCTACATTCACTCAAACATACTCCATACAAAAACATGCTTACATTTAAAAGCATAAACACTGCTTAGTGCTAAATACATTTTTTTTGTTGTTTTTTTTTTTTTTTAAATTGTGGTTGTTTTTTACATTTTAAAGTTGGGGGGTGCCAAAAATAGGACCCGGCCCAGGTGCCAAATGCTCTAGGTACGCCCCTGACTGTTGCTCTGTACAATTGCCTGCTTCTTGAGTTTATCTCCACTGAACAAAACTACCAGGAGGTAACAGGACTCGTCTGTTTCAAATCTGCACTTTTTTGTAAAATTAAAAAGGAAGAACTCACTCTTCACACATTAAAGGGAGTGTCCATTTAAATGACATTTTCTGATTGAACCTCAGAAGAAATCTGTATACATTATGCTGCTCTTATATTTTTTAGTGAATTAAAGCTACTTTTATTAAGCAAGAGTCCTTTAAAATAGGAGTAAGAGAAGTAAGAAAAAAATGATCATATGCAAGGCCCCCCACAGACCTTTCACTAGGGATAACAAAACATATTACATGAACCATAACTATATACTAACTAGTATTACTCTGCGCAACTCAGGTAAGCAGAGCATTCCTCTTTACAAATGCCATAAAATCACCTGGTTGACATATACTATGGGATAAAGTGGGAGCAGGGAAGTGCAACAGTGTACATGGTAAAGGAGAGGCATCACGGGTTCTCTTTGTTCAACTGGTACAGCTATTACAGGAGCTGAAGGCAATACAAATATAACCAGGAGCTATTGGTGTAGAGCAGTATATGTATAAGCAGAAAATAATGTTGTACCTCTTTTCTGCCTGGAGCATGGTCTCTATCGGTTGACATCACAGTTTGGCACCAAATCCCTCCAGTAGATAAAAAGTTAGCTGGAAGTCCATTGTGACTGACCGCAAGCACATTTTCATGCCCAAAACAGTTCCAGAGATTCAGACTGTGTGGCCGGTCTATTTCCCATTGTTACAAACTGTCATTTGTAACTGGCCCTTTAAATAACAAATTGCCCTGCTTCCCTGGGTTGTGGAGAAGCCTATTTGCCAGCCTCCTTCCGCATGACTATGGCCCCTGGGAGATTGTGAGAACTTATGGACTTTTATTGGGTGTGTATGGCCCTTTAAGACAGTCGGTGGGTGTGGCGGATGGCACCAGGCGATCCTACAAATATACTGTACATAACTGCATTCGTGTATCTGCTGTGTTTTATGTGTGTTAAAAAGAATTGTATTCCTCTGATTGTTCGGTAGTTTCATTCCCTTAGTTTATTCGAATGAAACTACCGAACAACCAGACCTCCCCTGTGTGAAGTGTGTCCTCAATTACCCGTTGCAACATTGTTGCGAACGGGTAATTGAATAGTAAGTAGCCGTCCTTTGTTCTCGGGGGTGGCCGCCATTCGACAAACGAACACGTGGCGGCGGCCATTTTAAAACTCCCGAACAGCGGTGTTTTGCCGTCGAGTGTCTGGAACTAAAATCGGACACTCGAGTAGGCGAACACCGCTGAGACCTCCACAAGCCCTGGTCCGTTCGGTTCCAAACTACCGAACGGCCCCTCGTTCGGTAGATAGAAAATACCGAACGAGGGGATTCAGGCGAACCCTCCCTAGCCTCTATAGCTAGAGGCTTTCGTGTATTTTGTTCCCTTATGCCAGGACCGACCGCAGGGCCCATTCGCATGGAACCTTATTCGGCTATCTCAGTTAGTGCGGTCGGTCATTTTATTCCCTCCATACATTTCCCGAACCCCTGGTCTGATCTGGGTGATTTTTGGATATGTTGTTCACCCAGATCAGGGGTATCCGGGGATGTAGGATTTAAAGAGGTACATCCAGAAACGGGGGGAATTACTGTACTGGATAAGGGGATTATGATGCTGGCTGAGGGGAGGAGATGTGTGGGAGGTTACCAGGACAGGATTGGCTACTGTAATAATTATTGTAAATCCCTCCCTTGCATGGGAGCATGCTTTAAAAGGAGACTGTGGATTAAAGCTTTCAGTTCTGCTCCTGAAACTGTGTGTCGTCCAGTTATTGGGATTGCTGTTGGGATATTGCTGTTATTTTACCTGCTGGAAACCTTACCTGTGGATTTACTATTTACTTGTTCCTGAGCCTCACTTGGATTATAAGCGGAGATAACCTGGGGAATATTGCATCTCCGCTACAGTGGGCATATTGGGGCTTATGGACTTTTTATGGGACTGGTGCTGGCCCTTTAAGCACCTTTTTGGGGCATAGGGAAAATTGGGACACTGCCCCTTTAAGACGGTGTCCCCAGACGTGTTTGGGACTATCCCCCTTTAAGACGGTGTCCCCAGAGTCCCCAGAGTCCCCAGACCTGGTTAAAACCCTTTGTTCCTAGCTATTTCCCACTTGGTTCAGTAAATGGGGCTTACTGAACCAAGTACCCCCCAGGCGGACCACCTGTATTGGGAGCATGTCTGCAATTTACCTCCCAGAAGCTGCGGTTAACCGCAGCTTAATTGACAATGCTGGGTGGCCTTCGTTTGCCGAATACGTGGCGGCGGCCATCTTTGTTCATTCGCACAAGGTCAGCGGTATGTGTAGCCAAATTCATGGAACTTAAATCGGCTACACATTTCCGCAAACACCGCTGAGCCCTACCTTCTCCCACAATGATTTCGCAGTCCCATTCGTTTTTTCATCCTGAAATAAACCGACCGCACAGCCCAAATCTATGGAACTGTTTTGGGCAGGAAAATGTGCTTGCGGTCGGTCATAAAGGGACCTCCAGCTAACTTTTTAACTCCTGGATGGATTTGGCTGATTTTTGGTTATGTATATATTTGAAGGTTGCTGATTCTAAATTGGATGTGTGGTTTTAAAGTTACAGGATATGTGTAAAAACTGTATTTTTACTGCCTGTGTTAATTATGTTAAACCATTGTGTAACATAATTATATCACAGGCAGAGGGAAGGATTTTGTGTGTAATTGCTGGGAGTTTCTGTAATGTACGTGTATGATTGGTTGTTTTGTAAAACCCTGTGGGCAGTCCTATCTAAGGGAAACCTGCATAAAAGAAGGTTCTTTTGGTGCCAATTAACAGAATGACTTGACCCTCTAACTTGCAGCCTTGACTCATGTTTGTAGGGGACAGCTATAATCACTACAGGGATTGCTATGTTCTTCATACTCCCTTAGCTACTGAGCTCTTGTAAGAGCTCTTGTTCCTGATCCTACTTCGCTCTACAGAAGGAAGAGGTTCACCTACTGGAACCTGAAGCCTGGTCGTAGGTCCAGGGTGGATAGCAGACGCTGAGATCCTAGCCCAGCAGAGGCAGTTCGTGGAGTCTGCAGTACTTATGGTGTCTACGCAGTAGTTATGGTATCTACGGTGCTGATGGTCCTTTGGTGAGTGCTAGGAGCATCCTTTCTATGTTCCAACTTCCAGCCAGCCTGGAGGCAACCGTAACAATTGGTGGCAGAGGTGGGATAATCCTGGGATTCCTAAGAGAGCTACGGAATGGATGGAGAGCAATTATGAGAAGCTGAAAGGTACCACGTTGAAAGATCTGCTCAAGAGCCGAGGTGGGAACACGAGCAATAGACCAAGGAGAGAATTGATCGCTGACCTGACTGAGATGGACCAGAGCTTCACCATGGCAGAACCCACGGTACTACCTAACGATGAGAAGAGAAAGGCTCCCCCTATACGGGCCGAACCCTTCCGTGGAATTAGTGAGGCAGCTGATGGCGGAGGCAGAAGTGGATATCGAAAGGACTCGAGCACATGAGCTCAGTCTGAAAACCGCATCACTTGGGACCACCAACAACGCACACAGCATTTCTACGGAAACAGCGGGGCAACCGAAAATCCAGTTCAGGAGGTACCACAGGCAGGAGGTATTGCTGGAGGGTCGCCCCACACAGGGGTTGAGAGATACAGGGGCCACTATTACAAGGCCGACTGGTACCAGCACACAGGCGTTCCACGGACACCGTTGTGGACCGGGTGCCTGGAGGGGACATTTATAAACTACCCACGGCTCAAGTACATTTGGATTGGGGTGTGGGGAAAGGAATTGTGAAAGTGGGGATCATGGACAATTTGCCAGCCGATGTTCTACTGGGCAATGACCTGGGACCCATGACTTCTGCCTATGCTCCTTCCTACAACTCAGAGGCGCATCCTGTCACTACCCGGTAACAAGCAGGAAGGACTCGAGACCCTTCACCAGTGCTGGAGACTCAGGTAAGACCAAACCCGACTGACTAACCACCCGTCCCCATTACCCTGGGATACCCCTGCAGCCTTTGAGGCTGAAACTAAAACCGACCCGACCCTGCAGAAATATAGAGAAAGAGCCAATACAGGGACTGGGGGATTAGACCAAGAGACATTCGCATGGGAACAGGGCAGACTATACAGACTTACCGAAAAGAAAGGCAACCATAGGAGGCAGCTAGTCATTCCCCACAAGTATAGACGAGATATACTCAGAGTGGGTCATGACATCCCATGAGCCGGACATTTAGCAGTGACCCGTACCCTCAAACGGATCACCCATACGCTCTTCTGGCCAGGGGTACATGCAGATGTGCGCACATACTGCAACACATGTGATGTATGCCAATGGGTAGGCAAGAGGGGAGACCACCCTAAGGCACACCTCGTGAACATGCCCATTATAGAGGAACCTTTTAGCCGGGTAGCCATCGACCTAGTAGGGCCCCTCACCACCCCTAGTCCATCCAGAAAGAGATACATTCTTACCGTGGTTTATTATGCTACCCGCAGTGGCAGTGGCTCTATCCAATATTCAGGCGGACACCGTAGCTAACGCCTTAGTACGAGTATTCTCTCGGGTAGGATTCCCTAGGGAGATCCTATCCAACAGGGGTACTCAGTTCACTGCTGAACTAACGCAACAACTGTGGCATGTCTGTAAAATAAAATCCCTACTCAGCTCCCCGTATCATCCTCAGACTAATGGGCTATGTGAGAGGTTCAATGGGACCCTAAAACAGATGTTAAAAACGTTCACCCAGGAATATAGAGACTGGGAACGTTTCCTACCGCACCTCCTGTTCGCATACCGGGAGGTGCCCCAGGAAACAACCAGATTCTCTCCATTCGAACTGCTATACAGGCGTAAGGTGCAGGGCCCCCTAAACCTGATCCGTGAGCACTGGGAGGGAGAGTCCCCATTGTACCCTATGTACTGGAGCTTAGGGACTGCATGGAGCAACTAGCCAGGTCGGTCCAGGCTAACCTCCAGGAGGCCCAGAAGCGGCCGAAGGTCTGGTATGACAGAGGGGTGAGAAGGAGGAGTTTTTGTGTAGGACAGAAAGTGATGGTGCTTAAACCTGTCAAAGCCAACAAGTTACAAGCAGCCTGGCACCGTACCAGATAGTGGAGAAAAGAGGGGACACTACCTATGTGATTGCCAGCTGTCACGACGAGAACTTAAGGAAGATATTCCACGTAAATATGCTAAAGGAATATCTGCAACGACCCGAAGATATAGCGGCCATATGTAGCCCGGCAACAGAAGACCCTGATAGTCTCCCCATACCCGACTTGCTTACTCAGAAAGACACGTCAGATCTAGTTTGCCAAGTGCAGATAGGGGACCGACTGAACCCAGCAGAGAGGGAGCAGTTACACCAACTGCTCCAAGAGAAACAGGCCCTATTCTCCCAGAAACCAGGGTACACCAACTTAGCCCTCCACCAAGTGGACACCCCAGGGCAGCAACCTTTAAGACAGACCCCCTACCGGATTCCTGAGGTGGTCCAAGCAGGGATGAAAAAGGAAATAACTGAGATGTTCCAGCTAAGGATCATTGAGTCCTCCGATAGTCCCTGGGCGTCCCCGGTAATATTGGTCCCCAAGAAGGATGGTACTACCCGCTTCTGTGTGGACTATCGGAAGCTTAATGACAAGTCCGTGACCAATGCATATCCCATGCCCAGGGTGGATGAATTACTGGATCGCATAGCCAGGGGAAACTATCCAACCACCATAGACCTCTGTAAAGGTTATTGGCAAAGCCCCCTGGCCAGGGAAGCTATCCCCAAGTTGGCATTCGTCACCTCCTTCAGCTTTAAGGTTATGCCATTTGGGATGAAGAATGCCCCTGCTACATTCCAGCGCTTGGTGGATAGACTCCTTGATGGCTTCCTGGATTTTGCCTGCGCATACCTGGATGACATAGCGATCCATGGTGAGTCCTGGGAGGAACACTTAACCCAGGTGGGAATGGTACTGGATCAGATTCAGGCTGCAGGCTTGACTCTGAAGCCAGAGAAATGCCATTTTGGCATACTTGGGTCACCGAGTGGGATGTGGGAAGCAGCGACCAGAGCCAGCTAAGATAGAGGCGATCGCAAATTGGCCCACCCCCACCACTAAGACCCAAGTGCTAGCCTTTCTGGGCCCAGCTGGGTACTATAGAAAGTTTGTGCCAGACTATAGCGCGATAGCAAAACCCATGACGGACTTAACCAAAAAGAATCTTCCTCGACAGGTCCTGTGGTCTCCCCACTGTGAAGCCGCGTTTCAAAAACTAAAAACTGCTTTAAACTGCTCCTGTCTTGGCTGCCCCAGCCCCTAATCGACATTTTATTGTTCATACAGACGCTTCCATGTTCGGGCTGGGAGCTGTCCTCAGCCAAGTAGGAGACAATGGGAAGGAACACCCGATTGTCTACATCAGCCGAAAACTCCTGCTACGAGAGGTCAGCTATGGAAAAGGAGTGTTTGGCCCTGGTATGGGCACTAAAGAAGTTAACCCCCTATTTATATGGACAAGAGTTCACTCTGGTTACAGACCATAACCCTTTGGTATGGCTCAACCGGGTCGCTGGGGATAATGGCCGACTATTACGCTGGAGCTTATCACTACAACCGTTTAATTTTACTATCACCTACCGACCCGGGAAACAGAATGGCAATGCCGACGGGTTAACACGGCAAACTGACCTCAGTCCAGCATAATTCTTCAGTCTGGACAGCCTTAGTCTACCCCGAAAAGGGGTCAGACAGTGTCTGCCAGAGTGTTCCACAAAGAGGGAGCATTGTTACAAAGACTCTGTTACACAGACTCGTTACATTGTCATTCCCTGTTTCTGCTTATTAAGACTCTATTTTAATGGCATGCAGGCCAGGCGAACGAATCATACGAACTAATAAAAAGCCTCATTCGTCAGTGCGAACGACCGACCACCTAGCCCTAGGCGGGTGCCGCCACTTAACCTCGTCACCCCACAAAGTACAGAACGGCCGACAACCCAGCCCTAGGCGTGTGCCGCTTATCTACCCCCCTTCAGGCATTGCGGTCTGCGGTTAACCGCAGGTTAAGTGCCTCTCCCGGGTGAGCTTCATTCGTACCACGAACGGACGGGACAACCAGACGGGTAGCGGGGATTCGCATGATTCTGTACCCGGCCTTTGCTCCATGAATACTGCATCAAGGTCCCGCTGGCCATTGACGGACCCAAAAACATGGACTGGGGACATAGTCTTAAAGGGGCATTGTCACACAAAGTCTCAATATGTCCCCAGACTGTTTGTAAAGGGCCAGCACGGTCCAATAAAGTCCATAAGCCCAAATGCAGTTCTTAAAGGGCCATACACAGTCCAATAGAAGTCTATAAGCTCCAAGACTGTAGTTAAAGGGCACAATCTCCCAGGGGCCATAGTCAGAAGGTAGGAGGCGGGCAAACAGGCCCCTCCAACAACCAGTGGCGAGGTCACTTTTGCCACATACTGCACCAATTACCTTTTTGTTTAAATTTTTTTTTATTTTTAACATACTTACCTCCTGACTTCCTGTCTACATCAAAGAAATCCCAGGTGGGGATCATACCACCAGCGCCCTTTCCATAGAGCAGTTTGCATGCTCTCTCTTTTTAAATATTTACCATTACTATTATTTCAGCACTTTTTATTGTAACAGAGAGCTCCATTATTTGCCTTCTATATTTTTTTCATTTTGGGTTCTATGATACCTTCTCTCCTGTGGACACTTACCCACACAGAGGTGGACTGAGAGCCTTTGGGGCCCCTGGGCAAAATTAGATCTCAGGCCCTTTTAAGGCCAAATATATGTGCATTAAATAAATGTTAAACATAACTCTATTCTGGGAGATCTGCATATTATCATCTAGCACCTGGAATCCACAGAAGCTGCATCAGGGCCCTGGTATGTGGCTGCACAAACGCTGGTGCTCAACAACAGGGGGTGGGTGGTTACCCAGCACCAGGCCCTGATAGTCCATTTCCACGCTGTGACTCCTATCATCATCGTCAGGCATACAGGGGTCCAGGTCTTCGGACCGCCACCCGTGACGGCATTCTAATTGTCAAATGCATTGAAGTATGGAGAAGGTAAAACTTCAGCTGACCCGTGACAGCATGTTTGTATTTGAGTCTGTGTGAATGCACTTGTGCATGTCTGGATGACTACATGTGCTTTTTCTGATACAGTGTCAGTGTGAATGCATATGTGTATTGAGCGTTAGTGTGTGCCTAAATGTGCAGGGGTGTGTAATATTTAAAAAAAAAAATCTACTTGTCCAAGTAGTAGCCAACTTACTAATCTGTTATGACAATCTGCTTGTCCTGACCCAAAATAATATAAATAACAAAGATTGGGGGCCCTTGCCTAGAGTCATGGGCATTGACATGGCTATTTGCCAAACTCATTTTCACAAATTAAATCTGAATGGACAAAAAAAGGCAAAATAGCTGATCTAGAAATATTATAACTTTTTTAAATTTTACAATTTGGATTTATTTTGCAAAGATTCCAAGTATGTGTGTGTGCCACTTGTATGTATGTAATGTGTATATGTTTGCTGCCTGTATGTATAGTGTGTGTGCTGCCTGTATCAGGGGTGTGGAATTAAAAAAAAATACTTGTCCAGGGTCTAAAGCGTTTGCCCAATCTACTTGTCCTGATACAAAAAAATATTTTAATCAAAACCTTATTTAATAAAAGATCTTTATTGTTAGTAACTTAGGAGACAGACCTAATAATACTTAAATGGAATCAACGAATACAAGGAGGTAGTGAACTTAAACAGAATAATTTCCACATGAGAATTGTAGCTAACTTTATCAAAAAATAAAACTGTAGCGGAGGCCTGATATTTCACAGGTTAACTCCACTAAGATCCCAGTGAAGCTCAGGAACAAGTGATGAAAAATCCCATAAAGTAATAATTTCAGCAAGCAAGGTAATCCAAGAATATCCCCATACAGATCCCAATGACTGGACGACACACAGCATCAGGAGCAGAACTTACTTTTATTCCACACAACCTCCTTTTAAAGCATTCTCCCATGCAAGGGAGGGATTCACATTCATTAGTACAGTATCCAATGGAATAGCAGTCACCTCCCACACATCTCCTCCCCTTAGTATGACACTAAATCCTATTACACAGGCTATAGTTTTCCCCAAGTTCTGGATGTACCCTAAGATCAGCAGATACACCAATACTTTAGGTACCCCCTGGTAGCCCTGATCTGGGTGACTAACATATCCAAAATTCACACAGCTCAGACCAGGGGTTCGGGAGTTAGGTGGAGGGTGTAATTTGACCGACACGAGGTGGTATCCGAAAAGGGTTCCATGGGCCCTGCGGTCGGTCTCGTTTCGGGAGTTGAAATACACACAAAAAGCTGCCATCCACGAATACTATTACATTCGTATGACTCCCCTCATTTGGTACTCTAAACTTACCGAACGGAGGGTTGATTCGCCTTCCCGTTTGGGAGTTACGGAGCTCTGGAGGTGTCGGCTCAGGAGTGTCCGATTTGAGTTCCAGACACTCGACGACCAAACACCGCTGAGCCTTTCGTGTGTAAGATGGCCGTTGCCACGTGTTCGCATGCCAAACGGCGGCCACCCAGATATATACATGAAATACCTATTAACCTGCGGTTAGAAAGAAGTGCGAAGCTTAATGAAGGACACACTTCACTCTGGGGTGGTCTATTGGTTCGGTAGTTTCCATTCGTATGGAATACGAATGGAAACTACCGAACAATCACACGAATCCTAAGTACGATGTAACTAAACATAAGAAATATCACACGAATTGCAGTAGCATCATAGTCTGTAAGGACAGCCATAGTACCATCCGCTACACTGCTCCCCCTTGCCCACAAGCCGGCATACACAGTCTGATCCAACATGGATCGGCTTGGGGATGCCCGCGGATGCTCACGGATCATTTCTCCAGGTCTATTTGTCTTGACAACCTGTCAGCGTTTCCATTCTGTTTGCTCGGGTGGTACTGAATGTTAAAGCCAAAGGGCTGCAGCGCCAAACTCCAACGCAGCAGCCTGGCATTGTCCCCAGCCACCCGGTTCAGCCATACTAACGGGTTGTGATCCGTAAGCAAGGAAAAGGGCTGTCCATACAAATACGGCTGCAATTTCTTCAGGGCCCACACCACAACCAGGCATTCCTTCTCGATGGCGGCGTAGCTTACTTCTCTGGGTAACAACTTGCGACTGATGTAAGCCACGGGATGTTCTCCGCCATCGGCCCCGACTTGGCTCAGTACTGCTCCCAATTCAAACATAGAAGCGTCTGTGTGAACAAGAAAACGTTTAGTTGGATTGGGAGCTGCCAAGACAGGAGAATTTATCAGTGCATTTTTCAGGTACTGGAATGCCTGTTCACACTCCGGGGTCCAGGTTACTTGGCGGTGAAGGTTCTTATGGGTCAGGTCAGTCAGGGGTTTGGCCAGGGTGCTATAGTTGGGGACGAATTTCCGATAATACCCTGCTGTCCCTAAAAACGCCAATACCTGAGTCTTAGTCCTAAGGGTGGGCCATTGGGCTACGGCCTCTACTTTGGCTGGTTCTGGTTTCTGCTTCCCACAGCCCACCCGATGGCCCAGATATTGTACCTCGGCCATCCCTATACTACATTTGGCTGGCTTCAGCGTTAGACCTGCTTCCCTAATTCTGTCTAGGA